ATTTTGACAATTTTTCATTTTGGAGTATGCATTTCTTTATTGTCCATTATGTCATTTGATTAAGGCTCAGATACTCAAATTTGCCTTAAAATAGTAATAAATTACATTGTAATTGTAAAGAGTTGACTGGGTCAGGAGCAAGGGTCTGGACAGAGTCACTTCATTGATGTATTTCCTTTATACAAAGTTTGAAGTTCTGTGACCTAATGACATGTAATACAGTCTGCTTAATTCAAATTTTCACTTTATGGTTTGCTAACTGTTGCATGAATATTGAACAGTCACCAATATCATGATTCATTTAGTCACTTTCGTAGAAATAAAGGACAAAGTATTTTAAGAAGATTGTAACCATGAACGAGTCATCTAAGGCAGCTGTAATTAAGAGTCATTGTTTTAAATGTTTTCATACCACAAGATGAATAATAAAAACTTCATCTTCAGACAGTACTTTGGTGATTTATCAAAATACTTATATATACAGTTTATAAGGTCCTCAGGTACTTAAGTAAATAAGGCATTGTATGACAGCAGCCCCACCACTGGCCAGTAAGAGGCAATGAGTATTACAATGTGTGCTCAGGAGTGTTGGCACATCTGTTTTTAACTGTTGTACCAGACCACTCTTTCGACCGGTCATTACTGCAGCACCATCAGTACTTATACCAACAAGATTGTTCAATTTCAAATTATTTTTCTTTAGAGAATCTAGCACTGTCTTTTGATGTTTGTCTGCTGTGGCTCCATCATTTACCTTCCATAATTATGTCTAACAGAACACTTTTTGGTTTGAAGGTTAGAGGCTGAAGGTATCTCACATATATAATCATATATTGGTCCACAGATACATTATCGTACATCTGTTGACTCATCTACCATGGTACAATAATTCTTATCACTTATAGTACTCAAGAGGAAGTCATCATTTATAACATCGACCATGCACTGATGCATTTCCTGGAACATTTGTGCTGTGTTTGTAGGTTGTGTGCTTGTCAACCTTCAGTGACTTTAGGCTTGAACAACCCTGACAATGGTGAAAAAATATAGCCTGATTTTCTATAAAGCATTATTTACATCATTTCAGAATTTCAGGAGCTTTCATTGTGTATTGTCTTGTGATTTCTAGCAGTTTATATCATGAATAAATGAGGATAGAAAATTATATTTTATAATTTTGAAAATATAAAGTACACAGCTGTTGGTTCGAATCCTGCCAGGGGATTCATTTGAAGAAATTTTTATTTATAAATCAGCGGTCAATAAGGGTATATTTTTGTTAAATCTTCTACGAACCAAAAAAATGCTTAGTTTTGGAAAAAAAAAATCCTTTTCACCTTTTGCGGAATTGGCAAATTGCAGCGGAAACCCTGTACAGTATATATGTATAAAAACATATAAACACACTTTTTAATGCTCATCAGAAATGTATATGCTTCATGTATATAAGGACAGAGGTACTCAACAGTTGTAAGTTGTGTAAAAGTTTTAAATAATTACACAGACAGTGTTAACTTCCTTGTTTGACTTGTTGAAGTGTGCTGGGTTTTTTTTCCTTACATGGAAATCACAGTTTGAAATTGTCCTATTTTATTTTTGATTAATGTTGTAATAATGACATTTGCAAATTTTTGAATCTTTATTATTTTTAAATAATGAAACTAAAATTGAAAAACAGGTGATTTGGTAGATTCCCGATTAGCAATGATATGTTTCATATTTCAGTTCAAAGGTTTACTGTTAAGAAAAGGGGAAGTTTTAATGTAAATTCTTAGGCACATGTTGTTTCATATTATTTCCTTATTGTCATTACAAGATGGGTTTGTTTTTTTTTAAATAAAACAAGGTTAGCAGATAGACATTTTTATAATGACCAAAGGTATCTATTACTAGTGTAGTTTGTTTGAACATTACAAATATTATACATAATTTTTAGTGGATACTTGGGGTGAATTTAACATATTATACTCTGAGGATAAAATTTATTTAGTAGGCAAACTTTTGGTTTATTTTTATTCTGCTCCCCGAAAAATAACTTTGTAGGTAGAGATAAGATCTCATTGAGAAGGTGGCAGTGCACAAGAACCATAACTGTCTTGCCTAATTTTGGAGTTATTGCCCTTTGTTCATTTTGACACTTTGAACTTTGTCCGGAACATTACTCTAAAACTATAAGAGATATCAATATGAAACTTTGTAGGTAGGTAGATCTCATTGAGTAGGTGTGCAGTGCACAAGAACCATAACTCTGTCTTGTTTAATTTTGGAGTTTTTGCCCTTTGTCCATTTTGACACTTTGAACTTTGTCCGGAACATTACTCTAAAACTATAAGAGATATCAACATGAAACTTTGTAGGTAGGTAGATCTCATTGACTAGGTGTGCAGTGCACAAGAACCGTAACTCAACCTTGCTTAATTTTTGAATTATTGCCCTTTGTTTATTTTTACACTTTGAACTTTGTCTGGGACATAACTCTTAAACTATAAGAGGTATCAACATGAAACTTTGTAGGTAGATAGATCTCATTGAGTAGGTGTGCAGTGCATAAGAACCATAACTCTGCCTTGCCTTTTACTTGAATTATTGCCCTTTGTTTACTTGTACACTTTGAACTATGTCCAGGACCTAACTATAAAATTATAAGAGTTATCAACATGAAACTTAACAGATAGATAGATCTCATTGAGTAGGTGTGCAGTGCCCAAGAACCATTACTCTGTCTTGCCTCATTTTGGAGTTATTGCCCTGTGTTCATTTTGACACTTTGAACTTTGTCAGGGACATTACTCTAATATTATAAGAGATATCAACATGAAACTTTGTAGGTAGATAGATCTCATTGTGTAGGTGTGCAGTGCAAAAGGACTGTAACTCTGCCTTGCCTATATTTTTAATTATTGCCCTTTGTTTATTTTTACTTTTTGACTTTTGTACGGGACGTAACTCTTAAACTATTAGAGATTATCAACATGAAACCTTGTAGGTAGATCTCATTGGATAGGTGTGCAGTGCTATAGAACCTAAACACAGCCTTGTCTAATTTTGGAATTATTGCCCTTTGTTCATTTTTACACTTTGAATTTTACCCTGGACATAACTCTGAAACTATAAGAGATATCATCATGAAACTTTAAAGATAGATAGATCTCATTTACTAAAGTGCAGTGAAAAAGAAACATAACTCTGCCTTGCCTAATTTTGGAGTTTTTGCCCTTTGTTCATTTTTTTTATACTTTCCTGTGTCCAAAACCTTCTCAGGGAGCATCACCCGGTTCTTGTTACATTTGTACACAACATGTTAATTGCAAAAAGAGTTACTCATCATAAAATCAATTTAATATCCAATACATCTTAACAATTTCAACAGAAAAAACGACATTTATTATGGCCTCTTGCCTTGATAACAGGGAAACATCATCGTCTCATACTGTTTATGTCAGTCAGTTGACGACTCATATTAGGGTGTGACGTGCACCCATTCCTAGTGCAGGGCACGCTTAAGGTCATTTACCTTGTTGACATCATTGCTCTCGTGCAATCTACGGCCAAGGTGGTCCCCCAATTTGTCTAATAATGAAATCTGGTGACTGGAAACCATTTGACTTGTTAATTTCTTTTCCGCAAACGTTATGTGTGTAAAGGGAAATGTACAATGGCATTAACCTGCTGAAAAAAACAGCATTTTCGTTGTGTATGTAAGGCAAAAGCGGCAGGAATGAGTCAGCACAAAAAGCATTCCAAATGGGGTCCTCAAACAAAATTTTTATTCAGTTTAACCTTCAATGATATAAGGCCCCAGATCATGACACCTCTGACAACGTAACTGTCACATTCAACAACATTGGCAGGATCTAGCTGTTCACCACGACGACACCATACTTGAACCCTACCATTGGCCAAATTAAGATTAAACTTTGATTCGTCCGTGAGACAACTCTATTCCAACGCTGCCTTACCCTACTGCTGTGACAACGTACCAAATCCAAGCATGAAAGTCAGTGAAGTTGCGTAAGGGAACACCTTTGTATGGTAGTCAAACTCATAGCATAGTGGCCCTTAAAGTCTGTTCCTGGCAGTATAAACAGACTTTCTGATCACCGTAGCCTGTCTGAGATGCTGCACTAATTTTTTTTGCAGGCATGAAGCGGTGACGCCATGATAACTTCACTATGTACCTTTTTTCCTCAGGGGTGTTTTGTAGCGTGCCCAAGCACGTGCACCTCGTGTATTTTAGAATATTGGCCAAAAGGGTAAAACAATTATTGAGTTGGTGAAAAAATAGTGAATTGTGGTAAAATACATACATAGCCGCTTTAAGTATTACTCTAGACATGTATGAAGTTAAACAGTGATATCTTTTAAGTGTATATTTCGGAAAGTTTTGTGAAGGGAAAATTTCTTTTGGTCTAAATAGTAACAATGTAGGTTATTTGTTCTGCAGACTTAAAATGTAATAAGCGAAAAGTTGAATTCTTTATGACCAGTGTAACTTTTGTATTTGTCAAACTTAGAAGGACCTTCAAATGTAAATCATGAATTGAGTTTTGTGTATGAAGTATCTGGCATATTTTGAATTCTCCCATTTGCAACATTTTGATTGAAGCTAAGTCTTTGAATTTGGGTAACTTTAATTTTCATTGCACATTGTATGAAATTCAAACGTTTGATGATCAAATGACTTAATTTAATAATTTTTAGCCTCAGTCTTCAAATTTGTTTCACTAAATGGGCAGTACACTTTAATGCAGACAATCAGTTTCATCTGGGGTGAATTTGAATGTGACTCTAGTTTAATTGAAGCATTCTCGATTAAAGTCACTTTATTGCCATAATCAATCCTCTATTGTCATTTTTTGTGATTTTAGAGGCACTTAAACTTTTACAACTCAAACCTTTTTTATAGAAGTGTATATTCTTTGATGAGCAATCTAGAGCCCTCTTGTTTAAAGATACTTATTGTTTAGATAAAATTCATTTGTATTTTGTTTCTTTTTTAGATACTCTTCAATTGCCTTCCTTACTTATGTACAGCAGCAGCATATGGTGATAATTGTACTGATACAAGTGAATGTACTGATGGTAGTTATCTAGAGTGTAATACAGACAAGAAATGTTCATGCTCAACAGGATATATAGCAAATGGGACTGTTTGTAATGCTGGTATGTTAAAATAATATACATTTTGTACCTTTTGTAGAACATTTCTTTGCATCACAGGTAACTAAAATTAAAATGAATGAAATTCATAACATTTTGCTGATGATCCTTTAGCTAATTTTAGCTCACCTGAGCATGCTCAGGGTGAGCTTTTACGATCGATGATTGTCCGTCGTCCATCCACATTTAGTTTGTTAACACTCTAGCGGTCGCATTTTTGCCTCAATCATCATCAAACTTGGTTAGGATACTTATCTATTTGATTGGATACTTATCTATTTGATAGCTCTGATGAGTTCCAACATGGGTCATCTCGAATGAAAAACTAGGTCTCAAGAGCTAAAAATAGAAAAACCTTGTTAACACTCTAGAGGTCACATTTTTGCCTCAATCATCATCAAACTTGGTCAGGATGATTGTCTAGGTGATAGCTCGGATGAGTTCGCACATGGGTCATCTCGGATGAAAAACAAGGTCACCAGTGCTAAAAATAGAAAAACCTTGTTAACACTCTAGCGGTCACATTTTTGCCTCAATCATCATCAAACTTGGTCAGGATGCTTGTGAAGGTGATAGCTTGGATGAGTTCTAACATGGGTCATCTCGGATGAAAAACAAGGTCAACAGAGCTAAAAATAGAAAAATCTTGTTACCACTTTAGGGGTCACATATTTGACACAAGAGTCATCAAACTTGATCAGGATGCTTGTCTAGGTACTTGCTTGAATGAGTTCGAACATGGGTCATCTCAGATGAAAAACTAGGTCACAGGAGCTAAAAATAGAAAAATCTTGTAAACAGTCTAGTGGTCACAATTTTGACTCAATTGTCATCAAACTTGGTCAGGAAACTTGTCTAGGTAATTGCTTGGATTAGTTTGAACATGGGTCATCTCTAATGAAAAATTAGGTAACAGGAGCTTAAAATAGAAAAATCTTGTTAACACTCTAGTGGCTACTGTTTTGATCCAAATATCCTATAAATTGGTCTGAAAGTTTGTTTTAATGATTTCTAAGTCAAGATCAAACATGGGTCATCTCGGAAGAAAAACTAGGTCACACCGCCCAAATATGGAAAAACCTTGTAAACACTCTAGTTGTCACATTTTTGACTCAATTATCATCAAACTTGGTCAGGATGCTTGTTTAGGTAATTGCTCGGATGAGTTTGAAATAGCATGTGAAACTAGGTCACCGGAGCTAAAAAAAAGAAAAATCTTGTCAACACTCTAGTTGCTACTGTTTTGATCCAATTACCCTGGAAATTGGACTGAAAGTTTGTTTTTATGATTTCTAGGTCAAGTTTGAATATGGGTCACCTGGGAAAAAAAATAGGTCACACTGCTCAAATATGGATAATCCTTGTTAACACTGTAGAGGTCACATTTTTGACTCACCTGTTATGAAACTTGGTCAGAATGCTTGTCTAGGTAATTGTTCGGATGATTTTGATGGGTCAGGTGACCAATCTAGGGCCATCATAGCCCTCTTGTTTCTTTGAAAGAGTAATGTTTCCTGGAAGTCAGATCATAATATGAGAAGAAATAATTATTTTATTTGTGGCATATATAGATTTTATCTCTATCTTTAAATAATGGTTAAAGCCTATCTGCAAGCAGTTGTAATGCCTACAGACCCAAATGTCAATGTGGTACTTTTAGCTCACCAGAGCCGAAGGCTCAGGGTGAGCTATAAGTATGAAAGGGGGATGCTCCTGCGTCCGTCGTCTGTCGTCATGCGTCAACAATCGTCTTCTTCTCTGAAACTACAAGGCAGATTTACTTCACATTTAGTCTGTAGCATCCTTGTGACAGTCACACTTGGATTTGCTCATGTCATTCAAATTGGCCCCTTTTAGGGGTCACTAGGGCTAAAAATAGAAAAACCTTTAAACATCTTCTTCTACAGAACTAATGGATGGATGATCACCAAACTTTGTCTGAAGCTTTCTTGGGTAGTGTTTTATCAAGTTTGCTCATATGAATTTGATTGGCCCCTTTTAGGTGCCGCTTAAGCTAAAAATAGAAATACCTTTAAATGTCTATTTCTACAGAACTAATTGATGGATGATTACCAAGATTTGTCTGTAGCATTCTTAGGTAGTCTTTTATCAAATTTGCTCATATTATTTTGATTGGCCCCTTTTAGGGGTCACTAGGGCTAAAAAAAGAAATACCTTTAAATGTCTTTTTCTACAGAACTAATTCATGTATGATCACCAAACTTTGTCTGAAGCATTCTAGGGTAGTTTTTTGTTAAGTTTGCTCGTATTAATTTGATTGGCCCCCCTTTAAGGGGCCGCTTAAGCTAAAAATAGTAATACGGTTTACTGTCTTTTTCTGGAGAACTAAATGATGGATGATCACCAAACTTTGTCTGTAGCATTGTTGGGTAGTCGTTTATCAAGTTTGCTCATATGAATTTGATTGGCCCCTTTAAGGACCGCTTAAGCTAAAAATATAAGTACCTTTAAATGTCTATTCCTACAAAACTAATTGATGGATGATCACCAAACTTTGTCTGTAGCATTGTTGGGTAGTCGTTTATCAAGTTTGCTCATATGAATTTGATTGGCCCCTTTTAGGGGCCGCTTAAGCTAAAAATATAAATACCTTTAAATGTCTATTCCTACAAAACTAATTGATGGATGATCACCAAACTTTGTCTGTAGCAATCTCCGGTAGTGTTTTATCAAGTTTGCTCATATGAATTTGATTGGCCCCTTTAAGGGGCGGCTAAAGGTAAAAATAGAAATACCTTTAAATGTCTATTTCTACAGAACTAATTGATGGATGATCATTAAACTTTGTCTGTAGCATAGTAAGGTAGTAGTTCATCAAGTTTGTTCATTTGAATTTGATTGGCCCCTTTTAGGGGTCACTAGGGCTAAAAATAGAAAAACCTTTAATCATCTTCTTCTACAGAACTAATGGATGGATAATCACCAAACTTTGTCTGAAGCTTTCTTGGGTAGTGTTTTATCAAGTTTGCTCATATGAATTTGATTGGCCCCTTTTAGGTGCCGCTTAAGCTAGAAATATAAATACCTTTAAATGTCTATTTCTACAGAACTAATTGATGGAATTGATCCCCAAACTTTGTCTGTAGCATTCTCAATAGTGTTTTATCAAGTTTGCTCATATTAATTTTATTGGCTCTTTTTAGGGGGCTGAGACTATAGCTAAAAATAGAAAAAAACTTTAGAGATCTTCTTCTACAGAAGTAACTGATGGATGATCTCCAAACTTTGTCTGTAGCATTCTTGGGTACTCTTTTATCAAGTTTGCTTATATGAAATTTGATTGGCCTCTTTTAGGTGCCGCTTAAGCTAAAAAAAGAAATACCTTTAAATGTCTATTTCTACAGAACTAATTGATGGATGATCACCAAACTTTGTCTGAAGCATTCTCGGGTAGTTTTTTATTAAGTTTGCTCATATTAATTTGATTGGCCCCTTTAAGGGGCCGCCAAAGCTTAAAATAGTAATACCGTTAAATGTCTATTTCTACAGAACTAATTGATGGATGATCACCAAACTTATGTCTGTAGCATTGTTGGGTAGTCGTTTATCAAGTTTGCTCACATGAATTTGATTGGCCCCTTTTAGGGGCCGCTTAAGCTAAAAATAGAAATACCTTTAAATGTCTATTTCTACAGAACTAATTGATGGATGATCACCAAACTTTGTCTGTAGCAATTTTATCAAGTTGGCTCATATGAATTTGATTGGCCCCTTTTAGGGGCCGCTTAAGCTAAAAATAGAAATACCTTTAAATGTCTAATTCTACAGAACTAATTGATGGATGATCATTATGTCTCCCCCACCTCGGGGGGAGACATATTGTTTTTGCCCTGTCCGTCAGTCCGTCCGTCCGTCAGTCCGTCCGTCAGTCCGTCCGTCCGTCCATTCTTCGTTTCCGGACGATAACTAGAGTTCCTTTTGACCTACAGCTCTCAAACTTCATAGGATGAATGGTCTTATTGAGCAGATGATCCCTATTGTTTTTGGGGTCAGTAGTTCAAAGGTCAAGGTCACAGTGACCGTTGGTCAATTTCTCGTTTCCGGATGATAACTAGAGTTCCTTTTGACCTACAGCCCTCAAACTTCATAGGATGATTGGTCTTATAGAGCTGATGATCCCTATTGTTTTTGGGGTCAGTAGGTCAAAGGTCAAGGTCACACTGACCGTTGGTCAATTTCTCGTTTCCGGATGATAACTAGAGTTCCTTTAGACCTACAGACCTCAAACTTCATAGGATGATTGGTCTTATTGAGCAGATGATCCCTATTGTTTTTGGGGTCAGTAGTTCAAAGGTCAAGGTCACAGTGACCGTTGGTCAATTTCTCGTTTCCGGATGATAACTAGAGTTCCTTTTGACCTACAGCCCTCAAACTTCATAGGATGATTGGTCTTATAGAGCAGATGATCCCTATTGTTTTTGGGGTCAGTAGGTCAAAGGTCAAGGTCACAGTGACCGTTGGTCAATTTCTCCATTTCCATTCCTGTTTCCATTCACAGTTATTCTCAGCAGTGGGGGAGACATGCGCTTTTTTACAAAAGCATCCTCTAGTTAAATTTGTCTGTTGCATTGTTGGGTAGTAGTTGATCAAGTTTGTTCATATGAATTTGATTGGCCCCTTTAAGGGGCTGCTTAAGCTAAAAATAGAAATGCCTTTAAATATCTATTTCTATAGAACTAATTGATGGATGATCACCAAACTTTGTCTATAGCATTCTAAATAGTGTTTTATCAAGTTTGCTCATATTAATTTGATTGGCCCCTTTTAGGGGCCTCTATAGCTAAAAATAGAAAAAAACCTTAAGAGATCTTCTTCTACAGAAGTAACTGATGGATGATCTCCAAACTTTGTCTGTAGCATTGTTGGGTAGTCGTATATCAAGTTTGCTTATATGAAATTTGATTGGCCTCTTTTAGGTGCCGCTTAAGCTAAAAATAGAAATACCTTTAAATGTCTATTTCTACAGAACAAATGGATGGACGATTGCCAGACTTTGTCTGTAGCATTGTTGGGTAGTCATTTATCAAGTTTACTCATATTATTTTGATTTGCCCCTTATATGGGCCGCTAAAATTAAAAATAGAAAAACGTTTAAATGTCTATTGCTACAGAACTAATTAATGGATGATCACCAAACTTTGTCTGTAACATTATTGGGTAGTCTTTTATCAAGTTTGCTCATATTAAATTGATAAGCCCCTTTTAGGGGCCGCTAAAATTAAAATAGAAATAATTTTAAACATATTCTCCTACAGAACTAATTGATGGATGATCACCAAACAAAGTTTGTAGTATTTTTGAGTAATCTTTTATCAAGTTTGCTCAAATTAATTTGATTGGCCACATTTCGGGGCCACTCAAGCTAAAAATAGAAAAACCTTTAAACATCTTCTACTTTAAAACCAACTGATGGATGATCACCAAACTTTGTCTGTAGCATTTTTGGGTAATCTTTTATCAAGTTTGCTTATATTAATTTGATTAGCCCCTTTTAGTGGCCACTAAAGTGAAAAATAGAAAAAATCTTCGAACATTATTTCCTACTGAAATAATTGATAGATGATCACCAAATATTGTAGCATTCTCAGGTAGTTTTTTATCAAGTTTGCTCATATTAATTTGATTAACCCTGTTTAAGCTAAAGCTTAAATGCCCCAGGTCATTGCATTTTTTCAAATTATTATTTAAACATATTCTATGCTTAAATTTAATATTAGGAAATATTGACAATCTAACACTGAAAAGCAGTTGTTTCTGGAGAGCGACTCAGGGCCATCATGGCCCTCTTGTTAGCTCACCAGAGCCAAAGGCTCAGGGTGAGCTTTAAGTATCAAAGGGGGATGCTCCGGCGTCCGTCGTCCGTCATCATGCGTCAACAATCGTCTTCTTCTCTGAAACTACTGGGCAGATTTACTTCAAATTTGGTCTGCAGCATCCTTGTGACTTGAATTTGCTCATGTCATTCCAATTGGCCCCTTTTAGGGGTCAGCAGATCTAAAAATAGAAAAACATTTAAACATCTTCTTCTACAGAACTAATTGATGGATGATCACCAAACTTTGTCTGTAGCATTCTTGGGTAGTCTTTTATCAAGTTTGCTCATATTAATTTGATTGGCCTCTTTTAGGGGTCTCTAGGGCTAAAAATAGAAAAACCTTTAAACATCTTCTTCTACAGAACTAATTGATGGATGATCACCAAACCTTGTCTGTAGCATTCTTGGGTAGTTTTTTATCAAGTTTGCTCATATGAATTTGATTGGCCCCTTTTAGGGGCCACTAAATCTAAAAATAGAAAAACCTTTAAACGTCTATTTCTACAGAACTAATTGATGGATGATCACCAAACTTTGTCTGTAGCATTGTTGCGTAGTCTTTTATCAAGTTTGCTATAATTATTTGATTGACCCCTTCTAGGGGTCTCTAGGGCTAAAAATAGAAAAACATGTAAACACCTTCTCCTACAAAACTAATTGATGGATGATCACCAAATTTTGTCGACAGCATTCTCAGGTAGTGTTTTATCAAGTTTGCCCATATTAATTTGATTGGCCCCTTTTAGGGGCCACTAAAGCTTAAAATAGAAATACTGTTAAATGTCTATTTCTAGAGAACTAATTGATGGATGATCACCAAACAATGTCTGTAGCATTCTTGGGTAGTCTTTTATCAAGTTTGCTCATATTAATTTGAAAAGCCCCTTATAGGGGCCGCAAAAGCTAAAAAAAGAAATACCTTTAAATGTCTATTTCTACAGAACTAATTCATGGATGATCACCAAACCTTGTTTGTAGCATTCTTGGGTAATCTTTTATCAAGTTTGCTCACATTAATTTGATTGGCCCCTTTGAGGGGCCGCTAAAGCTAAAAATAGAAAAACTTTAAAACATCTCCTACTTCAGAACCAATCGGTGGATGATCATCAGACTTTGTAGCATTCTTGGGTACTCTTTTATCAAGTTTGCTTATATTAATTATGCCCCCACTTCGAAGAAGAGGGGGTATATTGCTTTGCACTTGTCGGTCCGTCGGTCCGTAGACCAAATGGTTTCCGAGTGATAACTAAAGAACCCTTAGGCTTAGGAACTTCAAACTTGGTATTGTGATTGGTCATGACCAGTAGATGACCCCTATTGGTTTTGGGGTCAAAGGTCAAGGTCACATTGACCTTGTATATTAAAATGGTTTCCGATCAATAACTAAGAACGCTTAGGCCTAGGAACTTCAAACTTGATATGGTGATTAGTCATGACCAGCAGATGACCCCTATTGATATTAAGGTCAAGGGGGAAGGTCAAGGTCACATTGACCTTGTAGGTAAAAACAGTTTCTAATCAATAACTAAAGAACGCTTAGGCCTAGGAATTTCAAACTTTGTATGATGATTGGCCATGACCAGCAGATAACCCCTATTGATTATGGGGTCAAAGGTCAAGGTCACATTGACCTTGTATATTAAAACGGTTTCCGATCAATAACTAAAGAACCCTTAGTCCTAGGAACTTCAAACTTGGTATGATGATTGGTCATGACCAGCAGATGACCCCTATTGATTTTGGGGTCAAGGGGTCAAAGGTCAAGGTCACATTGACCTTGTAGGTAAAAACAGTGTCCGATCAATAACTAAAGAACCCTTAGGCCTAGGAACTTCAAACTTGGTATGATGATTGGTCATGACCAGTAGATGACCCCTATTGATTTTGGGGTCAAGGGGTCAATGTCATAGTGACCTTGTACTTAATTACCGTTTCTGACCAATAACTCAACAATTCAAGTTGCCTTGGTTGATATTTTTATGTGCTTTTGGTATACACATTTGAAGGTCTTATGTAATATAACAACTTGGCTGTCATTAATGAGGCCTATGTGATTCATAAAATTTATGTATTTATTATTTGGTAAGATTTTTAATAACTTTAATTGCTGCACACAACCTATGGGTCACAATAATTATTACCTTGTGACTAGTCATGACCAGTAGATACTAGATAACTCTTATTAATTGCTTGTTCACTGGGTCAGAAGTCATGCATAATAACCTGATCACATGACAAATTGGCTGCCGATAGGGGGCATACATGTTTTACAAACATATCTTGTTTGATTAGCCCCTTTAAGGGTCCACTAAAGCTAAAAATAGAAAAAACCTTCAAACATCATTTCCTACTGAAATTATTGATAGATGATCACCAAACTTTGTAGCATTCTTAGGCAGTCTTTTATCAAGTTTGCTCATATTAATTTGATTAATTTGATTAGCCCCGTTTAAGCTAAAGCTAAAATGCCCCAGGTCATGGCATTTCTTCAAGTTATTGTTTAAACATATTCTAGGCTCGAATATATTGACATTCCAACACTGAAAAGCAGTTGTTTCTGGTGAGCAACTCAGGGGCATCATGGCCCTCTTGTTTAATATATCAGGTCAGTGTCTGATTTTATAATGAATAAATGATTGATATGATAAAACATCAAAATGGCCTCCATATCCAAGTGGTTAAGACTGCTGATGTTGAAGTCAGTTGGTCAAGGCTTTTGTGATTTAAACAGTATTTTGAAAAACTCTTTAGCCTTCTATCTTTAGATAAAGTGATGAGGTTAGCCATGACCAGTAAATGACTGCTTTTAAATTTTTGGTTAAAAGTATAAGGTAAAAGTCTTTGAGAAAGATAAAGCTACTGCTAATTTGAATCACTTTTCAATTTGTGAATAATTAGGTGTTGGACATTCCCAGTAAATGACCTCTTTTGATGTTAGGCTAAACAAAATTGTAAAGTGCCCATTCACTTTTGAGAGGGTGGTAGGTAACAATTGACTTGTTAATAAACTTAAAGTGAACAAACATGTTTCACTAACATTTCTTGTTTTATAGATCTTGGAACAGGCTGTTCAAATGTAGTATCTTGTTATGATCAAAATTCTGAGTGTGTTGGAGTCCTGACACAATGTTCATGCAAAAATACTCATTATGATGACAATGGTGATAAAAGTGGAGGAACATGTCAGTTGAGTATGTATATTCCAACAAAATGTTACAGTTGTATAATATTGTTGAGAACTAGTCATGAAGCATTCAGTTGAATGATTGGAGGATTTTAAAATTGTTAACACATTTCAGATGTCAACATCATCATTATCAAATAATGTTTGACTCTTTACAACAAACAATAGTTTTTTGATATAGTATTGCATAGTTATTATAAGTAAACAATTAGGAGATACAGTGGAGTTATTTTGGCTAGTTTGTTTGTTTGTTTGATTGGGTTTTACATCACACCAACACAGTATAGGTCATTTGGCGATGTTCCAGCTTTACTGGTGGAGGAAGACCTCAGGTGCCCTTCTGTGCATTATTTCAGGCACAAGCAGGCACCTGAGTAGAACCACTGACATTTCGTAAGATAGCTGGATAGCTTCCTCACATGAAAGAATCCAAAGTCCTTGTCAGGATTCAAACCCACAGAGGTGAGGGGCAAATTGTTTGAAGTCAATGACCTTAATCACTTGGCCACATACATCCCACTTAAATATAACATTGAGGTAGCCATCTAGGCATCCTTTCAAAAGTACTGCCATCCTTCCATACAGATCCAAAAAATTATATTACAATTACAAAGTCCAACTTACTTAAAACCTGGCAGGAATGTTTATTAAATTAGGAAATGAGACTTACCAAGTGCTATCATAACCCTATCAGAAGTTGAGCTTTGACCTTTTATTGCTTATTGAATAATTAAGTTATTGTAAAGTAATATAGATATCCATTTTGGGATGTGCTGTATACAAAGATATTACATTATAATGAATTTTCTTATAGTTAGGTATAACTTTTAAACTATAATTGTGATTTGTTTAGTTTAGGCCCTTTGTAAAGTTAAAAAAATGTTGTTTTTAATCCCTTTGAGTTATTTTGTTACCATGCTGATTTTTAACAAGTTTTTCTTTTCTCTTTTTATTGTTCAAAAAGTAGGATACCCCAGGACCCACAATAGTTAAATAGTTTACTTTGTCTGTTTTTATGTTATATTTAATTCCAACAATATTTAGTAGCCAGTAATACTATTCATGCTTGTAATTCCTTAATATAACAGACAATTCTTTTTTTAAACAGAAAACATATTAGGTGAAGAATGTCCAGATCCAAATACTGTTCTAGGTACATGTTCTACAGGTAATAGTGGATGTTCATATGATGATTCCTCATCAACTAACTACAGATGTAAATGTGTATCACCAAATGTGGTTCAAAATGGAAAGTGTGTAGAAGGTAGGTATTTCTTAAACATGTATGCCTACAGATTCAAACAATTTTCTTTTAAACTATTAAAATTTTTCAAACTTAATTCTTATTTTACTGTAAACTTGCCAAACATGAAATATATTTGAAATATCAAATATATTTCTTAAACTCTCTATATACTTTGGCATGTTTGGAAAAAATATCTTGTGAAGATTTAATGTTAAGATTGTTTTGCAGATACATTTATTTTGAAAAAAAACACTAAAATAAAAAAAGCCAACAACCAAACATTTCATATCAAAGTAATTTTGTAACTGTCATAAAGAGAAAGATATTTATAGGATAATGACAGTAACTACCAGACCCTTGCAATTAGGGAAGGGTAATAGCATTATTCTTGTCCAAGAGCAGTTAATTCACTTTGACATTAATTAAATTTAGACTGAATAATGGGACATTTGTCTTTACCCATAACAAATTGTAGCTCAAAACATTTTGTGTGTGGCCTCATACCACATTAGAAACTGAAAGGATGTGATTTTATTGTTACTACAGTTTTAACTGTTCACTGCAGATGTTACGGAGATAGTCACAACAATCATTTCTGTACATAGTTTAGTGATAATAAATGCATGTTAGTCTTAGCTGAAGATTATGAGCAATTAGTGATTATAAATAATTCTACATCTTAGTCTTAGCTGAAGGTATGAGGAATTTGTGAGAAATTAATGTTTCTATATACATCATAGTCTTAGCTGAAGATTATGAGCAATTTAGTGATAATAAATGTTTCTATATACATCATAGTCTTAGCTGAAGATATGAGCAATTAGTGATAATAGATGTTTCTACATCATAGTCTAGCTGAAGATTTGAGCAATTAGTGATAATAGATGTTTCTACATGATCATAGTCTTAGCTGAAGATATGACCAATTAGTGATAATAGATGTTTCTACATCATAGTCTTAGCTGAAGATATGAGCAATTAGTGATAATAGATGTTTCTACATCATAGTCTTAGCTGAAGATATGAGCAATTAGTGATAATAGATGTTTTCTACATTTTTAGTGTTAGCTGAAGATATGAGCAATAAGTGATAATAAATGTTTTCTACATTCATAGTCTTAGCTGAATGTATGAGCAATTAGTGATAATAGAGCGTTTCTACATTCATAGTCTTAGCTGAAGATATGAGCAAATTAGTGATAATAAATGTTTCTACAAATCATAGTCTTAGACCTGAAGGTATGAGCAATTAGTGATAATAAGTGTTTTTACATTGTAGTCTTAGCTGAATATTTGAGCAAATTAGTGATAAAAATAATTCTTACATCATAGTCTTAGCTGAATATATGAGCAATTTAGTGATAACAAATGTTTCTACATCGGAAGATTTGAGCAAATAGTGATAATAAATGTTTCTACATCATAGTCTTTGCTGAAGATTTGAGCAATTAGAGATAATAAATGTTTCTACATCATAGTTTTAGTTGAAGATTTGAGCAGTTAGTGATAATAAATGTTTCTACATCATAGTCTTAGCTGAATGTATGAGCAATTAGTGATAATAGAGGTTTCTACATCATAGTCTTAGCTGAAGATATGAGCAATTAGTGATAATAAATGTTTCTACATCATAGTCTTAGCTGAAGGTATGAGCAATTAGTGATAATAAGTGTTTCTACATCATAGTCTTAGCTGAATATTTGAGCAATTAGTGATAATAAATAATTCTACATCATAGTCTTAGCTGAATATATGAGCAATTAGTGATAACAAATGTTTCTACATCGGAAGATTTGAGCAAATAGTGATAATAAATGTTTCTACATCATAGTCTTTGCTGAAGATTTGAGCAATTAGAGATAATAAATGTTTCTACATCATAGTTTTAGTTGAAGATTTGAGCAGTTAGTGATAGTAAATGTTTCTTCATCATAGTCTTAGCTGAAGATTTGAGCAATTACTGATAATAATCAATGTTTCTACATCTTAGTCTTAGCTGAAGATATGAGCAATTAGTGATAATAAATGTTTCAATATCATAGTCTTAGCTGAAGATATGAGCAATTAGTGTGAGCAATTAGTGATAATAATAAATGTTTCTACATCTTAGTCTTAGCTGAAGATATGAGTGATGAGCAATTAAACAGTAAATATGTTTGTTATCCCCTAAATTGATGCAAAGGCTTTTCAATTGTTTTATTGTATGTGCTTACAGATAAAGGAAATGAGGAGACATAGTTTGTGTTTAAAGATAAAAATATTTATCCAGCTTCATCACTGAAAGTAACTTCAACTTCCAAAACACAAAGCGTTTTGGTTAGTTAGTTTGTATCAAAAACCATAAAAAACAACAAAAGGCTTTAAATTGTCCATGATAATCTTTAACCCTATAAACCCTATTTCTACTGCACTTTCATTATTTCCAAAGCATTCAGACAAAATAAACTTTCCACCCTTACCTTTATTTGTAAATTAGTAGAATGAATGATGAGTACTATCATCATTTTATAAAACAAGAAATTTAATTTATAAAGTGAATCTTTTTCTGGTCTTCCTCATGATATGTTTCTTCATTACTGATTGCTAAGGTGCGGTATTGTCTTTTGCCTTGTATAATTCTGTCAGGCAGAAACAAATTTGAGCTCATCATTTTGGAAGAAAAATTTCAAGCTTTTGCTACAGTCATTGTTGTTCCCATGCCCATGCATGGTGCTGTTGCCATATCAGCTTTAGCATTGGTCATACATGTAATTTTATTTAATTTCTTTTTACTTTGACATAGCAACCTTTTACATAAGAATTTAAGGAGACAAAAATGACCTTGAACGTTTCTCATAAATTTCTCATAAATAACCTTAACCTTTAAATTATAGAATTTTGTTTCAATTTTGTTATAATTGGCTATAACTTTAAGATTTATGTATGAATTGTCTTCATATTTTGACATGAACATTCTTTGAAGGAGACATTCAAGTGGATTTAATTGATTAAGACTTTCACCCATCAATGGGTCTTGACATTGAAGGTCAATTTTTTAAAATTTTGCTTGATATTCATTAAAAATGGCTACAACTTTTAAGCTCACCAGAGCCAAGCTCAGGGTGAGCTATTAGTATCAAAGGGGGCTGCTATGGCGTTCGTCGTCATGCGTCAACAATCGTCTTCTTCCCTGAAACTACTAAGCAGATTTACTTCAAATTTGGTCTGTAACTAAGCATCCTTGTGACATTACACTTGAATTTGATCATGTCATTCCAATTGGCCCCTTTTAGGGGTCAGCAGAGCTAAAAATAGAAAAACCTTTAAACATCTTCTACTACAGAACTAATTGATGGATGATCACCAAACTTTGTATGTAGAATTCTTGGGTAGTCTTTTATCAAGTTTGCTCATATTAATTTGATTGGTCCCTTTTAGGGGTCTCTAGGGCTAAAAATAGAAAAACCTTTTAACATCTTCTTCTACAGAACTAATTGATGGATGATCACCAAACTTTGTCTGTAGCATTGTTGGGTAGTCTTTTATCAAGTTTGTTCATATTAATTTGAATGGCCCCTTTTAGGGGCCGCTTAAGCTAAAAATAGAAATACCGTTTAATGTATATTTCTAGAGAACTAATGGACGGATGATCACCAACTTTTGTCTGTAGCATTCTTAGGTAGTCTTTTATCAAGTTTGCTAATATTCTTTTGATTCGCCCCTTTTAGGGGTCTCTAGGGCTAAAAATAGAAAAACCTTTAAATGTCTTCTCCTACAGAACTAATTGATGGATGATCACCAAACTTTGTCGGTAGCATTCTGTGGTAGTGTTTTATCAAGTTTGCTCATATTAATTTGATTGGCACCTGTTAGGGGCCACTAAAGCTAAAAATAGAAATACTGTTAAATGTCTATTTCTAGAAAACTAAGGATGGATGATCACCAAACTTTGTCTGTAGCATTCTTGGGTAGTCTTTTATCAAATTTGCTAATATTATTTTGATTGGCCGCTTTTAGGGGCCGCTAAAGCTAAAAAAAGAAATACCTGTAAATGTCTATTTCTACAGAACTAATTGATGGATGATCACTAAACTTTGTCTGTAGCATTCTTGGGTAGTCTTTTATCAAGATTGCTCATTTTAATTTGATTAGCCCCTTTAAGGGTCTATATAGCTAAAAATACAAAAACCTTTAGATATCTTTTTTACAGGAATAATTGATAGATGATCACTAAACATTGTCTGTAGCATTCTTGGGTTACAGTCGTCTATCAAGTTTGCTCACATAAATTTGATTGGCCCCTTTGAGGGACCACTAAAGCTAAAAATAGAAAAACCTTTAAACATCTTCTACTTCAGAACAAATTGATGGATGATCACCAAACTTTGTCTGTAGCATTTTTGGGTAATCTTTTATGAAGTTTGCTCACATTTATTAGACTAAAGCTAAAAATAGAAAAAACCTTCGAACATCATTTCCTACTGAAATTATTGATAGATGATCACCAAACTTTGTAGTAGTCTTTAACTTATCAAGTTTGCTCATATTAATTTGATTAGCCCCGTTTAAGCTAAAGCTTTAATGCACCAGGTCATGACATTTCTTCAAATTATTGTTTAAACATATTCTATGCTCAAATTTAATATTAGAATATATTGTCATTCCAACACTGAAAAGCAGTTGTTTCTGGTGAGCGACTCAGGGCCATCATGGCCCTCTTGTTTTGATTGTTGTCATACTTGAGTTTAACTACCTTTAAGACAATGTGTTAAAGAAAACAAACTCATTTTGACTTTGAATGATAAATGATCTTGAGTTTGAAGATCAATATTGTAATTTCACATTTTTGGCTACAACTGGCTATAACTTTGTAAGTAATGGAGTGATTGTCTATGCACAAAAATCCTTTGGACAAAACAATTAAGAAGACTTAATTGAACTTGACATTGACCTTTAAATGACCTTGACTATCAAGTGAATACAGCATAGATATCAAGACTTGCTATTAATTTACTTTTTGATTTATAATTGGATTAAAAAACCTTATGACAAATCTGGGTTGTTGAATATTTTAAATATGACATTGGCCTTGATGTAACCTTCTCAAGGTCAAACTTTTGTTGTTAATTATTTTTTATTATGATGGATATATTTGGTTCAAATTGAGGACAAAACAACACTTATGACAACACCAAATTATTGAATAATTTAAGTGTTAGCTTGACATTAAACAACCTTGACTGACAAGGTCAAATATGAAAATATAATTATAATTATTTTTTCTTTAAGAACATAATGCTTTCTAGGAATATTCTTGAGTACAATATTCTTCCTCCAATGTGTTTGACTTAAGAAATAAGAAAAAAAATTGTAGCTCTTGTTATTCTAAACAGCCTTTCCTTAGTTTAGTTGCAAATTGTAATGAAGCTTTACAGAAACTGTCCTTGGGCCATCATCTACAAAAAAATTTATTTATTTATTTTATTTTTGTTATTTCTTTTCTTTTTCTTTTTTTTGTTTGCTGAACAGTTTTTCCACAAGATAAAACGAACACAAACTTTTTAAAGACATCTTCTTGTCAACCCTTTAAGATTTTGTTAAACCTCAGGTGTTCCTCTACAAAATTAGCAATGTCTTCCTGGTCTGCTTAACAAGATTAATGCTGCCAGTAATGAAACATAAGTATATAATTATCTTTTAACACCATTGCTGGGCTATAAGATTTTAATGAAATAATAAAGAAATTAACAAGAGCATGTTTACCTGGATAAAACAGGTTATACTGTTCCAGTCTGCTGAACAAAATGGCTGCCAGAGCAAGAAATACAAATCAGCATTCATCCTAAATCATATAATGAAATAGTGAAAAATAGGATCCATAAAGAACTTGCAATATGGCAAAATAGCAAAAATAGGAGGCTAGGTTTAATTTACCCAGTTCATAGGGGTTAAATGATGTTAAATAAAAACCTTAACTGAATGAACCTTAGATGGTTCTGTGCAAAATGTTTTTATTATAATTTGTTAGCCAGTGTGGTTAATTAAACTCAATATTAAAGGTCTTTGGAAAAACTTCTAGAATTGATTCAATTAACTTAACAAAATAGCAGCTAGATCTTTAAATAAAATATGGATATGCTATAACTATCTTCTACTAATTTGTTAAGATTTTGATGAAATTAATTGTTGTTATATAATTGGTTTATATTGAATGAAGAGCTTTTTATATTTAATGGGAAATATTTTTAACCTTTAGTCTGGTACAATGTACATGTATTTATCAAAAAAGTCGGAACAAATGTTGAGTTTGTTTAACTCATTAGATACTGTAAATTTGGTATTTTTCACGATGTTTTAATTTTCGCTATTATTCGCGAATTGGCTGCGTCACGAATTCATGATGCCGTGTAAATTTTATAACATAACATACATTGTAAAAAAATAAATCTAATGACACGTTTTTTTAATTGTGTTTAAGTTTTATAATGAATAAAATAACTGAATACAAAATAATTAATATGCGCAATGTTTTATTTACATCATAATAAAGATCTGAAGGTTAAAGATTTTTCCCATTCCTTTTTCCTCATGAATACATATCAAACACAAAAAGCTAACATTATTTTTTCTGACAATATCCACAAACTTTGCACTTTACAGACAAATGTGAACACATATTGTTTAGATGACAATTGATTTACGGTAAAACAGTGATCAACGGACAATTATCATACGGTAGATTAAGTATTATAAATAACATTGTACATCTTCTTACAAACATTTAACACTTTATTTGCAAACAAAAACCAAATGTGACAATGATTTAAAAAACCGTTCATAATAAGTAAATGTAAGTAGGTACATTTTGTATTTAAAATAAATAAATACGTCCATCTCTTATTAACACCATTAACATTTAAAAACCTTAAATAAGAGCGTCATAGTATAGAAATTAACTTCAACCTACCCGGATATATTGCGGAAATGAAATTTAAACAATCGCGAATATAAATTTCTAACCCTGCCATCGCGAATTCATGAATACACGAAATAATCCGGGGATGAGGTTTTCGCAAATAAAGATCACGCGAATATAAAGTGATTTACAGTACATCATACCTAGATATATATGATATAAAAATGATTTTTTTGTTGTTGACAGAACTTGAGGTCAGAATTTGGCCTCAGATCAGAACAGTTAAATCATAGTGAAATTTTCAGCATTTCATAAATATAAATATTTACAAACAAATCCTTATTGTATGTTGCTTTTTGTAGTATATAGAGAACATAATTTTATGGTACAAATACCTAGCTTTATACATGTTCTTGCTAGTTTAAAATAGATTAAGTTGTAAACCTTAAGAGCCAGTTTTATAATACTGTATGTTTGTAATGTCTATTTTCATTGGATGATCGTGACGTTTATATAATTTTATATACACAGCTGCTGTTGATTTATCAAGTAATCCTTTACTTTTTTCTCTAAAAAATGATGCTTGCTGTATTATAAATTTGTTACAAATATTCCTGACATGTTACATGTTACATGTTACAACCCCTATTGGCTTGGGTTATACTTTCAAACAACCGTTTATATAGTGCCATATAGCCTGTAAAAAATCTTTATAACTAATATGGAACTTAGTCAATGTGAAATTGTTTTAAGCAAACATTTTAAGCAAAATGAAAACAGCATCGTAGAAAATATTTAGAACAAACGTGTTAGGTTTTAAGTTACAACATTGTATCCTACTATAAAAATAAGAACCATTTAGAAGATATTGAAAAGTAATGTTAGTTATAATAACCTATGATCATCATACAGAGTGAGAACAATTAATATTTTTAGAGATCCAGGTGAAGGAGATGATCAGACTATATTGATTCTGCATTTGAATTTTTAAAGATTTAGTAATTTTTCTTTATTTGTCACTTTGTAGTTGAACCAAAAGCAAAATAACAAAAATGGGAGAAAAGAACATTTTACAGGGCTGCAGATAACATGCGTATTTGCGTTATTACCCAATTAAAATGTCTAAAAACCCAATAGAAATAATAACTAAGGGTAAGAAAAAGTAAATGAATTCTTATTTATGCAAACTACATTTGAACTGGTCCGTAATGACGTAAATTATTACTTAATGGGTACATCAGGCAAATCATACTGTTTCAGACTGTTTTAACCTTAAAATTATATCAGGCAGCTTGGAAATCTCCTAGGCCAATAAACCATAAAGCAAAGTAGTAAGTAGCTTTTTTATAACCATACAAAACCTACAACAGTCTACAATGTAGGTCAGAAATTTTGGGTAAAATACATGAACTCGTGCTTTAAAACCCAAATTGGTTAGAGGGGGTAGGGTAAAAAATACAGAAATAACTGTAAGGAAATAGAAAAAACCCAATAGATCACAAAACAAGGGGTAATTACCCAATATACACAAAATTTTATCTGTAGCCCTGATTTTAAACAAAAGGGCATTTTTTCAGCACACCTTTTACAGTGACTAAAATTGAGTAGATAATGAGACTAATAACAAGGTACTTGATCATTCAAGCATTTTCCTGACCTCTATTTAAAGTTGAATATTAAATTTCACTAAGTTTTAATATTGTATTTTTCAGCTACATGGTCTAACTGGTCAAACTGGGAAAGTTGTAGTCTTACATGTGGTAGCGGAACAAGAACTAGAACACGGACATGTTCTGTTGCTAATAGTTGCACTGGAATTGCCACAGAAAGTGAATCATGTTCAAATGGAGTTTGCCCAGGTAAGTTACTTGAATTTCATAGTTGAATATAAAAATGTGCTGTCAAACTTATTTGTCATTATTATTGGTAAAGACATTATCTTACCTGTCACAGTTCCTCCCCTGTATTTTTAGTAACTTATCAATAGAGGTGACTTAAAAAGACATATACATGTAATTTTAGCATTAATTTTGATATTCATGGAATTATTTCTAAATCTGAAATACGAAAATTCCTTTCTGTATTATAAATTGCAAGGCTCACATTTTACTGAGAATAGCTTAGTGCTAAAAAAGTGAGCACTCATTTAATCTTGTTAAAAAATCAGGCTCATTTAAATGTACATTGTGATTAAACAGTACAATTTTTGGCCGGGTTGCAATGGTGCAAACCTGGATTATAGAATGGTGAATGTCGGGCGGTGGGCGGCAGGCTGGCGGGGAAAAAAAATTTTGTAACAGTTTTCTCAGGAACTACTTATCACAGCCTCTTGATATTTGGCATACAGCATTGACACATGGTCCTATACAGTGGGATTTGATTTCAGGTCTTTCGCTTATCAACTTCCTGTTTATCGACTTAGTTAAATTTTCGACATTAATGGTCAATAATGATGATACTTCCAATATGAAACACTATAATAAAATCCAAATTTTGATAATACCAATACTAATATGTATACAGTCAAACACTTTTGCTTAATTATGACCCCTTTTTTGTGTTGTTTTTTACTGTCCATCACTTACAAAAGTGCATTTTGCTATAATATCTTTGTCTATTGTCCCAAGAATTACTGCATCATCATTATCTGTAGATGCACCAAATAGTTTTAAGGTTATTTGGTCATAGGTCAATGTCATAATGAATGTCACCTTTAAAAGCTTGTCTGATCAATAACCAGAGAATCAATATAATCTTCATATTTGTTAAGGAGGTTGATAATGACCTTTAGATAACACAAGCAGCTGTAAGTCCAAGGTCACATTGGCCAGGAATTAAAAGGATGTTAAATGAAAAGGAAGGGGGTAATGACATGTATATGAACCCTATAGATTTTGAGGTAAGTTAGTCAAATGTTGAAGTATATGGATATGAATCCTATAGATTTTGAGATAAGTTGGTAAAATGTCAAAGTATAAATGTATATTCTGGGACTTTGACCACTAAAGGATCATTTACTAAAGAATACTAAAGCTGTGTTACTGTGTTATTCTTTTTATTCTTAGGGCATTGGGTAAAATGTCATGTTGACCTTTACAATTAAAACTGACTTAAAATCATCAGTATTTGGTAGGGTTTTTGGTTATTTAACAGATATCTTGCCATTAGGCGGGCATACATGTTTCACAAAAATATTTGGTTACAATGGATTTTATTAATAATTGTATTTAACTAAAATGTTACTTCATTAATTTATGAAACAATATACATCATTACCAGTGGATGGTATTTGGGGAAATTGGACACCATGGTCAGCCTGTTCTCCAACTTGTGGTGACAGCAGTGGTCAACGGACTAGATCAAGAAATTGTGATAGCCCTGCAGCATCAAATGGTGGGAATGAGTGTGTTGGTGACAAGATACAAACACTGCAATGTACCATAAGCAAATGTCCAGGTACAGTGTTGTTTCAAACATATATTAAACTTGAAATAGATTTTACAAGACAAAATTATGTTTTTATAATACAGTTAAAAAGAATTAGTTCTTTTCTCTTTAAGTAATCAGATGCAATGTCAAATTAGTTTAAGACCAACACAATGTTCAATAGCTAACATTCTTCATTGTGAGACAGGATATATAAAATATATATTATGATACTTGATTTATGACTCCTTATGAGATAACTCATTCTCCACACAGTTCTATATTTACAATGTATATTTTTATTCATCAAAACTATACTGGCATGCGAGCAGTTCCCGTACAAAAATCATAGTTACTTAAACATTATTTTTTATTACGCTCACTCACCAAAATTTGAATTTTACACATGAATATTCGGCTCGTCACACAAATCATGGAAATTCCATCTTGTTCTAAACATAGAATAACCCTTACTTATGAGGCCTCATATGGGGTACCGAAATTATCCATTATTTTGTATGAAGAGAAGTAGTTCCCGTACTTAAAATCTAACCCATTATAATTACACAATTTTATTATATCGGACCTATTTTTCATTTACAATTGTTGAACAGACCATTATCTAAGAGATAAATAGATGTAATTCAGGAAATAGAAAGTAAACTAAACGCGTGTATCTATTACCCGGTACCGTTACCCCAACGCATTCACATGCGATGGCATGCTTGTATGCATGATATTTTACGCATCAAAGCCATAAAATTATTTTATATAGTAATATTGGTCAAAATTCTGATAATAAACAAGTTTTCATCACATTGCCTACTTATCTGTAAACAGGTGGTATTAGTGGAAAACCCTTTAACATGCCTCACGTGTAAGTATTTTTGCGCATGCGCACAAGGACGGAATCCCCCAGAGAAAACAAGGTCACGTTTTGACAACGCACAGGTGAAAGTGATTTAAAATGAGAATTTTTATACTTACTGCCGAACTGACACTTAGATTTTGTCTCGTGTATGTATCTGCTTGATTTGAAATGAATTTTTGAAGAATGCAAGTAAAAATCAAGCGTTTAAATGAAAAATACGGGTACTGCTTCTGTACGGGAACTGCTCGCATGCCAGTATATAATTAACATAAATAAAATGAAAAAAGAACAACATGCTGTAAAGTTGTTTGTATGTCACAATTTGTTAAAAAGGTAAAATTCTTATACTTAAAGACCCAAGGAAAAAAAAACCTTAGCAAGCTTCTGAACATCATTGATCTTTTTTTTAATAAATCAATCATCACAGTTTCATTAGACATGTCTCTGTTTAAAAATTTATTCCATTTTCCTCCTAAGTAACTTGTTAGAAAAACATTGTATATTGCTTGTGACTCACTGTAAGGTTAAAAAAAAACTGAATGGTTAGCATATAGTTGCTGCCATGACCATCCTTAGGTCTTTAACTGCATTTGTCTATCGGCATTTGTATGTCACAATTTGGAAAATCAGACTTATTATAAACAAAAATAAATTGGCTAAATACATATACTTTTTATTTTAATAATTTGTTGCCAAGGTAAAATATCTTCACTGAAAAACCATGAAAAACTTAATCATAACAGGGTACATAATATCATTGAAGTTTTTTATGATAAATCAATTGTCTCTGCTTAAAAATATATTTTACTGAAGCAACGTTTTAGAATCACATAAGATATAATTGCTTGTGACTGGGTTGTAAAAACCGGGTGGCAGCTATAACCGTTTACGTTTTTTCATATGACGAGACGTGAAATATTCTGTGAAGATATTTGTTCTATTTGATGAAGATCTTGACTTATGTATTGAATGCAATAGTTCAGATCATTCACCAACTCCCATTTTCAAAAATTTTTTATTTGTTTAAAGTTGCACAAAAGAAGCTGTTTTTAACTCAAGTCGGGGTAAAATCTAAAAAAAAAATTATAACCATTGTCAGTTAAGTTCGGCGTTACTTTCTTTATAAGCTTTGGAAGAACTTATTAAATCAGTGTCATAATTTAAGGTATTAAGTTCTTGTAGAAGCAAGGACATCAAAAATTATATTTGACTTTTAAATATAAGGAAATTGTAAAATACAAATTCCTTCTTATATCTTGGATATTAGTTACTAAAATAACTTGTATATCATTCTTCAGATGTTTCTCTTTTATGTTTATTAAAATGTAGGAAAACATACAGCTCAAACTTTCAAAATTATAAATTGATTTCTTTTGAGATAACCACAACCAAGGGTTCTGGTTCAGCTATTTGTATGACAGGGGGTTCTTAGATTTGGTTATGGCGTTACAGGAACATCTTGTCAGATTTACATTAGGTCTGCTGCATAGTATTCTTGTGACAATCCTGCTGAAATTAAATTATAATTGATATGTAAGTTCTAAGATGAAATAGAGATTTAGAGAGTGTGTAAGTCTGGTAATTAGCATGACAGACAAGGTGATAAACCACAAATGAGAGCTTGTATTATGCTCTAATTACAATCACATCACTTTGCCTGTATGAACAGTCATAAATGCATCATGCAACAATTTCAATTATGATCTTTTTGGCCATGTGTTGTTTAAAATATAGACTAAGTGACATGACTCTTGCATACATTTAAAAATAGATGTTTGGAAAACCACAGGTCTGCAACAAGTAGGTGTTGATCAAAGTTTGTTGGAAAAATTGATCACAGTGATGGGGGTTGGTGCCAGCATTCATGAAACTCATGGTTTAATATGCCACTGTAACACATCTGACATTACAAAATTAAAAGATTAAATTAAACTCAAAGTAATGCAACATTATATTTACCTTTAGATTATGTTTATCCCCCCCCCCCCCGACTATTAAACAACTTCTCAATTAAATAAGTCTAAGGTGTTTTGTGTCAATTGATGTAAAGTTTTAATGATTTCAGATAGGCAGCTGTTATTTGAATTAAAATTTTGTAGTTTGTACACACATTTAAGTTAAACATATCATCAATGTCTAAATTTAGTGAATAGTTTTTGACACAAATATATAAATTTATTTCACTGCATTGGAGACAAAATTAAGGCATAAATTAATATTGTGTCTGTTTTAGTGGATGGAGGATTAAGTGAATGGTCAGCATGGTCATCTTGCTCAGTCTCATGCGCTGGTGGGTCACAGACAAGATCTCGAACATGTACAAATCCTACACCACAATATGATGGTAAAGATTGTACGGGTCATAGATCTGAAACACAAGCATGTGAAATACAAGCTTGTCCAGGTAAGATTGATTGTTTCATAAGGTTTATTAATATAAAAAAATATCACCAGCTTGTCTTATCCAAAAACCTTTTAAATTGTGTATAAGGATTTTCACCATTCTTTTTATTTTTATCTTGAAAATCTGTTGCATTAAGACTGTTAAATTGAAATTATCAATGTAAAATTAATTAATAAAATATCCATAAAGATTTCCAAATAATTGCGATTTTTTTTATTTTGAGAGGTTCAACTTGTCTTTTAAGGAAGTAAGTGTAACAGTTAGCATATGAGTGTTATTCAAAATTATTCATAAAATAATTTCAGGTGATCTTAAACATGATATTTAATCTATTTACTGAAGTTTTTTTAAGAGAAATTAATTATTGTATTTTTTGTCTTTTTAACATTATTTGTAAAGAACTCCAACAATTGAAATATATGTTATTTATAAAATTGGCCTTCTTTTGTTTTAATATGTCTTTTTATTAAATACCTGTTATATACCTGTTACATACCATATATACTCCTTTTTATCATTTACTTTTACATTTGCTTACATTCTGCCACATTTTCCCCTTGTGGCATATGTTACGAATTTAAACCCTTATTTATAAATCATTTAAATCCAGTATTTTGTTTTGAAACTTAAATGGTATGATGAGAACATAAATTATTATACCCCCACCACAAAATGTGGGGGGGGCTATAATGGATTCGCTTTGTCGCGTCGGTCGGTCGGTCGGTCCGTCCGTCGGTCCGTCTCCATTTTCGTGTCCGCTCTATAACTCCTATACCAATTGAAGGATTTTCTTCAAACTTTGCTCAAATGTTTACCTCAACAAGAGGATGTGCAGAACCCATGTTGCTCATATGTCAGCTCAAGGTCAAGGTCACAATTGAAGGTCAAATATCAAACACAATCAAATATCAGACAGTATGTTGTGTCCACTCTGTAAGTCCTACAATAATTGAAGGATTTTCTTCAAACTTGGCTCAAATGTTCACCTCAACAAGGGGATGTGCAGAACCCATGTTGTGTATGTGTAGGCTCAAGGTCAAGGTCACAATTGAAGGTCAAATATCAAACAATCAAATATTAGACAGTATGTCGTGTCCGCTCTGTAACTCCTACACTTATTGAAAGATTTACTTCAAACTTGGCTCAAATTATTCACCTTAACAAGGGGATGTGCAGAACCTATTTGCCAATGTGTCAGCTCAACGTCAAGGTCACAATTGAAGGTCAAATATCAAACAATCAAATATTACACAAGATGTCATGTCTGCTCTGTAAGTCCTACACTTATTAGAATGATTTTCTTCAATCGCTTGGCTCAAATGTTCACCTCAACAAGAAATGTGCAGAAACCCATGTCACCCTTTTGCTGGCTTCAGGTCAAGGTCCACACTTGAAGCGTCAAAAATTGACTTAGAAAATATTCTTAAATTTTTAACATTTTATATGAATTTTCTGAATCTAGAAAAAGGTTATTTGCTTGAAACTTAAAATATATAAAAGGTCACAATGAAGATATCTGGTCAAGTTTCATAACTCTGTATTGCATTTTTAACAAAAGTTTATGCCCCTTTTTGGTCTTTAAATTTACATACAAATTAATACTAGATGATATGGTTGTGGTTCGCTCTTTAAATTCTTTACTAATGGAAGATTTCTTCAAACTTTACCCAAATGTTCACCCCAACTGGGCGATTGCAATGAATCCATTTACCCTGGTGCCAGCTGAAAGTCCAAGGGCCACACTTTAAGTCAAAAATGACTTATAAAAGTTTAATATGGAAATGAAAGTTTTTTGTAACTGTTTCGAACATATTTGATAAGAATATTTATTATTTTACCTGTACAATTAGCTTTTTTCACCAGAGATAATTCTTTTTTGTATTTTTCGCCACTTAAGTTATCCCTTAACCACCTTTCCCCAAGTCGTTCTTCTGTCAAGGACATTGGTGGGGGTATGAATCGCATTCAGCGATAGTTCTAGTTTTTTTTACATTTATTTAGGGTTATTTATTTAGATGTTAGTTATAAAATCATCATTTTATAATTACTTCAAACTGAGATATTTTAGCTGTCTCATTTTCTGTGCACATCTGACTGGATATTCTATTGTTTGTTCTGGTGCTGATTTAAAATGACGTCATTTCCCTAGCCTTTAAGACTGATTTACATACTTAGGATTCCATCTATGTTCATAGAAAAATACAGTAAATGATAATATTTGCTGTTGTATTTTTTTTCTTAACTAAATTTAATATGTAACTTGAAGGAAAATGAATTAAACAAGGGCTGTTGCAACCACTTAAACTATTTTGATTGAACTATAAGGGAAAGGGAATCTGTTATTTATAGTACTACATATAATCTTTTTTTTTTAATGATTTACCTGTTTTCACACTTGTGTTATAAAAGATAAAACCCTAGCAAATAAAAAAATTTCTGTTTTAAAGAGGGGGAAATTTTGGGACAACCTTTATTAATACAAAAAAAGGGAGCAAATTAAAGAAATAAAAAGGGGTTTATAGTTGGAATTTTAAATCGAAAAGTTTATTAAGAAATGGAAATGCATGGAAGAAGTAATATTTATTTTTTAAAATTTTCTTTGAGTTCAATTAGCTTTGTCTTGAAATTTTTTTTTCGTTAAATATGAATGGGAAATTTTTTTTTTTTACCCCGCCGAGGGAATCGGGGGGGGGGATATAGTTTTGGGGTTGCCCTCCCTCCTTCCGCCATTCGTTTCCCCCGAATTTCGATTCGGGGTAGTTCCTTCAACTTGGCTGGGAAATTAACGAAACTTTTTGGGGAAAACAATATCAAGGGAAACCCATCGTCGGCTTTTTGGTCCGACCCCTTTAACTCAGAGTTATGTCCCTTGATTAGTTATGTAGTATGTAGTATAGAGTAAAAATCGTTTGTTCCGGAGTAGTTCTCTGCAACATACTGGCTGCGAATAAAACAAAACTTTATGGGAATCACAATATCAAGAGGAGATGCGCATCATCTCGGCGTTGTTCCAGTCCGACCCTTAACTCAGAAGTTATGGCCCTTGATTAGTTATGCTAGTATGTATATAGAGTAAAAATCGTTTCCGGAGTAGTTCTCTGCAACTACTGGCTGGAATTCAAACAAACTTTGCGGAATCATCAATATCAAGAGGAGATGCCCATATCGTCGGCTTGTTCCCGTCAGACACTTTAACTCAGAGTTATGGCCCTTGATTAGTTATGCAGTATGCATATGGAGTAAAAATCGTTTCCGCGCTTCTTCTCTGGCAACTACTGGCTGGGAATTCAACGAAACTTTATGGGAATTCAATGACCCAAGAGGAGGATGGGGCATTATCGTCGGCTTGTTTCCCAGTCAGACACTTTTAACTCAGAGTATATGGCCCCTTGATTAGTTATGCAATACTACATATGGAGTAAAAATCGTTTCTGGAGTAGTTCTGTGCAACTACTGGCTGAATTCAACAAAACTTTATGGAATCATTCAATATCAAGAGGAGATGCGCATCATTCTTCGGCTTTTGTTCCGGTCAGACCCTTTAAGCTGCAGAGTTATGGCCCTGGGAGTTAGTTATGTAGTATGCATATAGAGTTAAAAATCGTTTCCGCGCTACTTCTCTGCAACTACTGGCTGGAATTCAACGAAAACTTTATGGGAACCTTCAATACCAAGAGGAGATGGGCATATCGTCTGCTTTGTTCCGGTCAGACCACTTTAACTCAGAGTTTATAATGGCCTTGATTAGTTATGCAGTATCCCATATATAAAAATATTTGTTTCCTCGCTACTTCCTCTGCTTCTACTAGCTGGAATTCAATGAAACTTTTATGGGTACTCAGAGGAGATGTGCATATTAGTCACCTTGTTCCCGCGTTCAGATACTTATTACTCAGATTTATGGCCCTTGATTTAGTTATGAGTTATGTATACATCTGCATTGGCAATTTCCAGATTTTACTATTTAACACAAATTATGGCTCTTTTATTGCCCTGGTAATATTTATCAAGTTCAAAGAATATTACTGTTATGCCCATGGATTAATATATAAATAAAGCCTTATGTCTTCAGTTGTTGTGTTAATAATAACCAGTTCTCAGCGGGGGATATAAATTCAACGAATTTGCTTGTTGAAATATTGCTTTTATATTGTTCATGGTAATGGAAACTTTTGACTTTATATAATATTACTAAAATGTAGAAGTATTTGCCAGCATATAAGTCATTATTCCAATTCCTAAATTGGGCCTCTAATTTTATCGGAAAAAAACCAATGAACCCTTTTTTTTTGCAAAGGGGGGGAAAAATAAGGAATTTTTTTTTATTTTAAAATACTGTTAGCATTAATTATTTTAAAAATGGCTGTCAAACAATGTTTGCAACAATAATCTTTCCATATAACATTTCTTAGAAAGCTGAATAATTACTACCTGTTAGGAACAATGAAGCCAACAAAAATTATAAAAACTTGTCTTTCTTTTTAAAGATCATGACTGTTTTGTGAAAAAAGAGAAGATTTATTTTTCCGGAATGCTAAAGGGTATTTTTTACATTTTATTTTCTATAACTAAAACGTTTCATTTCAACTGTGAGTAGTTTCCTTTTTTAGGCCCCCGAGCATCCGAGCTGTATTTTATAGCGTTTCATTTTGGGTGTGTTTGTTTGTGGTTGTTTTTTAATAGTTATAAGTAAACTAAAAAAACTTCTTTTTGGAAACCACAAGTCCAATTTCAACTAAACGGCAGGGTTTATCCCTTTGGGGGAAGGGGGTTTTTAAAATTTTTAAAAAGAATTTCATTCCATGCAGAAATCTGTTTGCCATGGCAACCAAAAGGAATTATAAGAAATAAATTTAAAAAATCTTCTTGTAAAGACCTGAAAGGCCTAAGAGCTTAGATATTTTGCATAAGGCATTATCTGGTAGACCTCTACCAAGATTGTTCAAATTATAGCCCTGGGGTCAAAATTGGCTCGCCCCGGGGGTCATTGATTTTCACTATATGTACATATAGTAAAATCTTAAAATACCTTCTTGTAAAGAGCCAAAAGGCCTAGAGCTTAGATAGTTTGCATAAGACATTGTCTGGTAGACCCTTACCAAGATTGTTCAAATTATAGCCCTGGGGTCAAAATTGGTTCCGACCCGGGGGTCATTGATTTCACTATATGTATATATAGTAAAAACTTAAAATACCTTCTTGTAAAGATCCAAAAGGCCTAGAGCTAAGATATTTTGCATATTGCATTGTCTGGTAGACCTCTACCCAGATTGATCAAATTATAGCCCTGAGGTCAAAATCGGCCCCGCCCTGAGGGTCATTGCTTTT